GAGTGGCCGTTCAAGACAACGTTCATTTCCCGAATTGATAAAAAAGACTGAATCAGTTCAAAAATTCGCCCAGAAATATCAACCTTTCAAATTGTAAAGAGGATCAATATGCCAAACGTTGTCAAATGCCTTCGAGATATCCAAAGCAACAGACCGAGCTTCACCATTCTTATCTAAAGCTTGATAGACCCTTTCAGCAATAATCATTAATACGTCAGCATTTGGTCAAGAGAAGTGAAAGCCATGGATGGAGTTTTATGCATAACACTCAATAGAGACTCAATTCTAGGTAGAATGTCAGCCAAAGATAGCCCAGATGAGACAAGAGTAGAAATTGAAGAGAATTTACGAGCAAGACATTCTGTTTTACCAATAGAATTTATGTTAACACCTCAAGTTAAGTGATGAATAATAGATAAACGACTTATACTTATTTAACTCGCGATTATAGAGCTACCAGTAGTCAAGAGAGCCAAACTTATCAGAAGATATACGGTGTCTCATTCTATCGTCAGGCAAAACTTTAGCCTCTCTAAGGACACGTTTACAATTATTACGAGCTGACACAATTATGCGTCTGCTGTAATAGGAGGCAACGATAGATTAATGAATAGCGGCTCGGATTGAGGTATCGGAGAGCCGGGTTCGATTTCCAGTCAAAACTTTTAAATTCACTTACGTGCTAATTCCGTTGGGAAAGGTATGAACCCTCTTCTTCTCTTCACAGCTATGGATAAATAGCAGGGCAGACTGGATTCTGTAGCTTTGGATGGCAACTAGTCTACTGCAGAAAGAAACGGCAATCTACTGCGAGTAAAAAAAATCTGCATCGTCAGTCATGTATCGAAAGATACATGATCGCCTAAGCGTGTATTACGTATGGCACATAACTGACTGACTGTAATCGGAGCTGTCACGCTATATATATAGTGATTTCCATTGGCTACAGCGGATGAACAGGCCTGTGCGAACGAAGGATAAGATTGTGGTTACACCTGGTATTTTTGGGAAGATACAAAAGCATTGATACCCACCTTGTTCCAAGAGGAAACCTCAATGAAACAGTTGAGAAGCTCAATCCAAGGGATATCTCGAAGAAAGTCACGAAATGAATCCCAGTTGTTACGCTTGTAGCAGAAAGCAGTCTTGGAAAGAGGATGCTTCTTTTTAATAGACAACGCAAAAGAACTATCAATGGAAACTACTAGATGATCTGAATTTCCAAGCGAACAGAGTTGTGCTAAATTATAAGAGCTAGGAGAGGAGATAAGGAACAAATCAAGTAAATAGAGTATGTTGATCAAATAAACGAGTAGGGAAATCCATTATTTGATTAACTCTTGATAAACCATCAATTAAAGTTACACCACTACTAACCATAGGTATATCATACCTGATCTTGAAAATATCAAAAAAATATTAAATATAAATCTTTATTTGAAATATTTTACATGCAGGCACTTCAAACTTTGTACTTTGAGTTAACATTAATAGGAACTGAAAAACATATTATTTAGGTAAGAAAATCAGGTACTGAAAATTGTAATTAAAAATAAGAAAATTTGGGCTGGGTACTATATACCCATGGTTAGTGTTCTAGGGTTAAGAGACTGAACAAAGGAGAAATTGCAAGTCTGAATACCAAACACAAAACAAATATTTGCAGATAAATGTAGAGAGTCATTTCTATATTGTTAGAGATTTTATCTATCACAGTCCCGAGAAGAGGAAAAGCGATATAGGAAAGAAGAGATTGCTTTTTATTAAGTTTAAAAAATTTTTTCTTGTAGATGTGTTATTCATGTAGACTAGTTTACATTTGTCATTCGTGTACATTTGTGGCTAGACCATCTTTAACGTTTAACCATGTGTAGTAGTGAGTTAAGTGAGAAGTATTTAGTTTTAAAATGCCAAGATATTCATATCGTGAACAGGTAGATATGATATTTACATACCACCGCGCGAATAGCTATGGACGTATGGCTGCACGATTGTATCAGATTTCGTTCTAGACCGAAGGCAGCCGAATCATCCAACCTTTGCGTCTACATTAACAACTTGTACCGTAAACTTTAAACGTAATTTAAAAAAAGAAGGATTTGCGGACATGTTTATATGGACTTTTGCCCTTGTTTTGGTGTGAGGAACTCGCCTCCAATGTTAGTAAAAGTATTTATGATACACCCTATATATATATATATATATATATATATATATATATATATATATATATATATATATGTGTGTGTGTGTGTGTATAAACAACCAAAATAAACGTTACACTCCAAAGTTATATCCATACATACAGTGATACGGGTTATTGTCTTTGTTGAAAATTGGCTAATGCATGGAATAATAATGCAACACAAAATGTACTTAGAAGAAAATGTATTGAAACAAGAAAGTGTACACAATATTTACATATAGTTTTTTGTATATTCCTGGTAAGACCGTTCCTGGAGAATGTGTTGACTGAGTCGCAGTCGGGCACAGTCTCTGGTTGTATCTCTTGATTCCTGTATTTATCTATCCACCCACGAGGATAAAATGTGGCACAAGGCCGGTTTAAAGTGGGTATCTCCGAGCCCGTAGGCTCGGCCAAAAATATGGCTTTTCTGAACCCGCCTAGACGGGTTCAAGGCCTGTCTACAACCCCGGACGAAACCCTGCCTCTGGCAAAGCCTCGTCCGGGTCCCTCACTGCAAAATGCAGAGAGTTCGACTGAGAGTGAATCTCTTGATTCCTCCCTCTCTTCCCGGTACCAACCATATTTATATGGTCGGTACTCCACTATGCAAATAAGGTGGATCCTACCACAACAGTCTTTCAGTTGACATCACTCCTGGAGAGGTTTGCGGCGAAGATTTTCCCCAGTCAAATATCCTCAAATAGAATGAAATAGAGTTTGGAATTAAGATTACCCTTATCACAGGGATTATTAATAGGACAAAACAGAGCCCCATTAAGCCACTTCCATATAATAAGTTCTTAATAAAAAGTAAGATACATTTAGACGGCCGAATTTACAGATGGTCTTCTTCCTGGTCATTCACAAAGCAGACTTTTGATGGTTACTGGCGCGAATGAAATGTACAAACTGGTTGTAGAACAAGCTTCTAATTTTTTTGTGGGCGGGTCTTTTGACTTGTTTTTCTATCATCTTCCTTAACCCGTTCTAAGGTTAAGGAAGATGATAGAAAAACTAACCATCATTTAAAGTTACACCACTACTCACCATGGGTATATCATACCTGATTTTGAAAATATCAAAAAAAATTATTAAATATAAATCATTATTTGAAATATTTTACATGCAGGCACTTTAACCTTTGTACTTTGAGATAACATTAATAGGAACTGTAAAACATATTATTTAGGTAACAAAACCAGGTACGGCAAATTGTAATTAAAAATAGGAAAATTTGCGCTGGGTACTATATATCCATGATTAATATTCTAGGGTTAATGTAGTAACTCAAAAATGAATAGATTTCACACTCCAAAGATTTGCAAGTCGCCAAAAATGATCTCCAGTTAGATGTAGCTTAGAATAACGTTTTCTTTTCTTCACCCAATAGAAAGTTTCCATTATATGGTAATAAAACGGTAAATAAAATAACCAAATGCAATCGCCAACAGTTTCTTTTCTTGCACTTCCCAACTGTAAAACACTATTCTATTCCGTTTACTTGCATCCCCGATAACTACAATCTTCAAAAATTTAAATGCAACGACAATCGCCATCTTCTACCTTCTTGAATCCCGTTCATCTGTTTTTCTTTCCACAATCCTCCCTATACTCAGTCTTTTCTCTCACTTTCACGCTCTGTAGACCTCTGTATATGTTGTGTCGGAAACCTACCACCCCTCTTGAAGATGAACTTGTCTGCGAACAAAGACGTTAAATAGTGGTATGTCAAAAGACAGAGAGACAGAGCAGTTGTTAGCTGAGCTAGTGATTGACTACCCAAGCGATTTCTGTACCTATTTACCAACCTATTAAACCCCTTTTATTTGTTACGTGTTATTTGGCGTTTGTCTCTACTAACCCCAAATCAACATCATAACAGTATACTAGTGGCATTCCCATCTTTTGGGGGTGAAATCATTAGAAAAAAAGGCTTCCACTTACGCTAAACTAAGTGATGTAATGAATATGGGTTCCTCCTCACAGTAATATGATTGACTGGTGTCAGCCATAAATACAGACTGATGTGGAGGTATATTGCCTACGCCTATTGCCTACCACTACGACGAGGACCAGTCCATTACGGTTACCTGCTAGATTTTCCTACCCGGTTACAGTAGTCAACAACCACTTTCCTACTTCAAACAAATATATCCCTTTCTGGGACATATCACTAAGGAAGATGATGGTTGCATACGTCACCGTGACAATCACAAAGGCGCATATGGCGTACTTGCATGAGTGCTATTGCTTTCATAAGATGACGGAACGTTTTGAAAATGTCGGAATATCTAACCTTCTCTCGCGAGAAGACATTGAACCAAAGTCAAAACGGGCATCAGCCTATACGATATTGCAATTTTATTTTCCGACGATGTTTTTGATTAACACTGTATTCTATATACCTGAATGGAATCTTATTTTACATGATAATATGTATTCCTTGACATTGCATAATCTGCATCGGTCTATTCCACACTGATTTTTCATTTTTTTATTCTTCTCTTTCAGTGATTTTCTTTCTCATTTTTCTTTTTAAATGAATCTATAAAAGCAAATGTTTATTCTTACTCTCTAAGGAAAAGCGCTTCTCTCTTGAAATAACACGAAATTTAATAATAAACCGAGAATCGAGTCCACAAGGTTGAGGGTTAAATCAAACCGCCCATTTCACTTTTTGTTTTTGTTGAACAGAAACCAAACAGCTGCTGCTATTGCAAGCAGACTTCTTGTGTCGCGTTTTATTGATGGGGCTTTCAAAACAGATGGTTTATCTTTCAGAATGAAGACAATATGACAATTGATAAAGACAATGACTTATTTATCAGTTGATTCTTTCTATCTATCTATCTATCTATCTATCTATCTATCTATCTATCCTTTTTCTCTATCTAATTATGTTCATCTATATAATTATGTTTATCTAATTATGTTAATCTATCTATCTATCTATCTATCTATCTATCTATCTATCTATCTATATATCTATCTATCTATGTATGCATCATTTTTCTCTCTATATAATTATGTTCATCAATTTAATTATGTTTATTTAATTATGTTAATCTATTTTAATCTGACTAATTATGTTAATCTATCTATCTTTTTTCTCTATCGATATAATTCTGTTCATCTATATAATTATGTTTATCTAATTATGTTAATCTATCAATCTATCTTTTTTCTATATATATAGTTATGTTCCTCTATATAATTATGTTTATCTAATTATGTTAATCAATTTTAATCTAATTATGTTTATCTATCTATCTATCTATCTATCTATCTATCTATCTATCTAGCTAGCTAGCTAGCTAGCTAGCTAGCTTTTTTCTCTCTATATATAATTATGTTCATCTATATAATTATGTTTATCTAATTATGTTAACCTATCTTAATCTAATTATTTTTATCTATCTATCTATCTATCTATCTATCTATCTATCTATCTATCATTTTTCTCTCTATATAATTATGTTCATCAATTTAATTATGTTTATTTAAGTATGTTAATCTATTTTAATCTGACTAATTATGTTAATCTGTCTATCTTTTTCTCTATCTATATAATTATGTTCATCTATATAATTATGTGTATCTAATTATATTAATCTATCTTAATCTAATTATTTTAATCTATCTATCTATCTATCTATCTATCTATCTATTCTATCTATCTATCTATCAAAAAGTGGTTCTGAACAGTTCTAGACATGTCCAAGAGAAATGTTCGCAAGCCATGTGAATTCTGTTCTAGATTCGCGCTCATTTTAATTTGACACATGCTTTCTCAATTTCCTTTACTCCTTCCAAAAGAATTATGATGTATGGCCAATGAAAGGCTTATTTTTAGATATGATTTCGGCTTTTAAATTTTCGGCATTCCCTCTTATTAGGATATTAGAAATTTAAATTATATCTTTCATTGCTATGAATTATTAGTCAAGCAACAAAGCCTGTGCCAAAGATGAAATGGTATGAAACAATTTTGAATTTGTCTATCATATCTTCTGCAAACTGGATGCCTTTTAGAGTACACAAGCAGTAGAGCCCGGCGTTGCCCGGGGATGTAACAGTAAGAGATAGATCAAGTATCCACCATCATAAAGACTGAAAAATAAAATTGACAAAGATTATTGTTTAAGGTTGACGGACACGCATGTCTTAATTAGCTTTTTGTTTTGTTTTTTTTTTTTTTACGAATTAGTCAAACCCAAACTCAAACAAAAACATTGTTTTCAATCGTTATGAGTCTACCGATTGAATAGAATTTTATTATAAACAATTGTCTTGTAAATGGAATTTTTAAAGCATTCTGAATGTAAAAATAAAGAAAAAAGTGGGCAAGACAATAAGAAACACTACCTGCCAAAAAAAAAAGTTAAGTTTTGTTGAAATCGGTTGAAAAATGTAGGAAATCTGATCCCATATATAAACGAATGCACACACACACAAACAACCTGGGTTTTATAATAAGTATAACTCGATATGAGTTGTCCCCCTTTCATTCTCGCGATAGCGATGCATCTTAATCGTGTTTTCAAATTGATTTCGTGTAAAAACAATTGTGTTTTTCCAATTTTTGGCGCTGTCAGAACCACCGCAAGGTAACTTTATGTAGTCATGTGAACTTTTGTTGAAATCGGTGGAAAATGTAGGGAATCCGATCCAATCCGATACATAAACGAACAGACACACACACACACACACACACACACACACACACACACACACACACACACACACACACACACACACAACCTGCGTTTTATAATAAGTATGACTTCACAGCTCAATTCTATACAAGATTATAACTTTGAAAAGCAACATATTTGCCATTGTGTACCGTATGAATTCTTAAAGTTTAGTACTTCAACAGAACAGAGACATTAAAAAAAACAAACACTTGCAGTGTTGGATTGTATGCATGAATTGTAATTTAAAAATGTTTACAAATGTCGATAGTAACATGTTCAAGAAGCCTCACTCTGGAAGAAGACTCACTTTGAACAAAGAATTTTTGAAAGAAACTATACCGTTAGATCCACGTGAAAGCAAAAAAACAAAAACAAAAACAAAAAAGACAATGTGTTATATTCAAGTGTCCACGAACATCTCAAACGAAGTGAGAAAATTGCAATGAGTGATTTGTAGCTCCTCATGAGCATCTGTTATAGAGTCTAACACAACCAAGAAATCTTAACTAAAAATGCCAAACTGTAATTTTTGCATCTTATTGTTATAGTTGATGAAAAATGGGTTTTGCATGTAAACAAAAAATGAGAACGATATTGCTTATCACGTAATGAGAAAATAGCTTTAACACAAAAAAATTAGGACTCCATCTACAGCAATCCTTATTTTTGTATCCTTTGGACTATCAAAGTTGGCCTTGAAGAACTGCCGAAACCTTGACATACCATCGCTGCAGACGTTTATTGCCAGCAACGTCACCGGGTAAACGAAGCATTACAGCGCAAGTGTGATACTTTTGTAAACAGAAAAGGTGTTATTCTCCAGCATAACAATCCAAAGGTACACCATGCAAAACAAATACAAGAAAAATAAGGTTGTTGCTGTAGGTTCTTTTACGTTCTCCATACTTAGCTGATCGAACACCAAGAGTTTTTATTTATTGATTTCGTTCGTTTATTTTGGCCATGAATACAAAAAGGAAAAAGAAGAGTTTTTTTAAACACAGAATAGAAAACTAGCCTTCTCGTTTCCGTTACTGGCAATGATGATCATTAACTTTTTGTTAAATTCAGTTTTTGTTGGGGTCACCCACCTTCTGATCAGAATGGACTGATCTCTCTACGATATAGGGCAGTGCTAGAGACTTCTGGGGAGATCAGGTGACCAACACACTTCCGTCTCTCATACGGAAGATACCGTTGGACTTTAGATTCTTGCTGATTGTTACTGACTAACCTGCGTTCGTTTTACTACTAATCTCTCTGTTGTAAATACCTTTTCAAATATACCAGTATTTTTCCCTACGTATGTGTTTGTCCTTATTTCCAATACACGCACACTGAAACACCCAACATCTCAACAGTTTTTAATCTGTTCACAACCAGCAAGACAAATAACGCCACTAGGAGGCAAAGAGGCTTATGGAGCAAAAGAAAATGATAAGGTTTTTATTGGGGAGAAATAGCGACAAAGAAACAGGATTCAGGAAGATTGGTGATTGGCATTGCATCTTTGAAGAATGAAGGGGGGCAACGAAGCAAGAAATCGGAATGTAGATCCACAGGCGAGAAGTGCGAGAAAAGAAACTATTAAAATAAAACAAACGGTTGCATCTAGCTAGTTGAAAGGTAAAACGATGACACCTAATAGCATGCTTAAATATATGCAGTCTAGGCACCAAAGAGAAAAGCTCATGAGAAGAATTGTCATGAAAATATTTGCAGAAAAGACAGAGGGAAGCTACTTTCACATCGGTGAAAGAGTGACTAAAGCCGAGATGCCAGGTCAGGAACTATTATATTACAGATCATTTGACCCCCACACACACACACACACACACACACACACACACACACACACACACATATATATATATATATATATATATATATATATATATATATATATATATATAATTTATTCCTCTTACACTCTCTGTTAAATTACAAAAACTTACACTACCCATCAATTTTAATTTCATTTTTCGTTTCATTTTATTTTTGGAAGTGCTATCTGATGATCCGCCGTCCTTTAAAAGGGTTCTGGTGAAATAAATTATTATAATGGTACCTTAAAGTGGTCTGTTTTTATTTTTATTTTAAATATTAGCTCTGGATTTACATTGAGCTCTCAGGATTTCATCCTCCTTGGGATTACCCATACGGATTACCAAGTTCTTCATAACTTAAATATATATATATATATAAATTGCATAAGTTACCACCTTTGCATATAGGTAAAAATATTTTGAATTTACGGTGGTTTCGCATAACGCATCCATAGATATGCAATCACTGAAGATGGCCTCAGATGACATTGGTACTTGGGAAAATATAAAATATTTAAAAGAAAATTTTGGAATTTTTCTTAATCAATTTTCTAATTCGTGGACATGAATTGTTTAAAACGAAAATAAATAGACATATACGTCGAATGAAAATATACTGCCTATATATATATATATATATATATATATATATATATATATATATATATATATATATATATATATTTGGTTGGTTTGTCTGACGATCGCTAAAGCATGAAACCCAGGGTCACAAACTCACATCTATCCAACAAAATATGTTAGCTCTATCTCTGATATTGAGCGCTTTCTAATAAGTACCGCGCATATAATATATAAATAATTACACATATATATATTTATTTATATTTATATACACTTTTCACACACACACACACGCACACACACACACACACACACACACACACATATATATATATATATAAATAACCTAAGAACCAAATATCACACACACTTAACAGAGACACATCCCCTTTCCAGGAACAAATAAAACTGTCAAAATGACCAAGGGAATTCAGAGCAGTATGAATCCATCCAGATCTTTTTTTAAATAACTCAAAAAGACTGTTTGACCAACACAAGAACTGACCAAAATTCATGTTAAAAAAATAAAAAACAAAACAAATGAAAACTACAGAAAAAAGTTCATTTTCTTCTTCATTAATTTCTCTAGTTCACTGCTATCAGCAAGCAGAATATTTTTTCTCCTGGTGATGGCCATGTTGGCCGAAACTAGTCGAGGAATCTAACTGAAATAATAATAAAAATGAAAGAGTATTATATACAACCCAGTGTGTCTGAAGATTTTAATTTTTTATTTTTCAATATATATATGTATCGCTATCACTTGACTTAAAATATTTTTGCCCTTCCTTGCCTTTAAACGAGTGCTCTTTGCCGTGCTGATGTTGCTACACGCCTTACTTCTTGCCTATCTCACACTGCGAATTTTTTCTAAGCTCTATACTAAACATTAAATCTGTTACGAAAAAAGAACTGAACAAAATGAACACAAAACGATCAGATTTAAAAAAGGACTCGTAACTGGAAAAATCGAATGAAAAAAAATGTTAACAACAAAAAATTTGCGGAATCAGAATCAACGTTGAGTTTAAGCAAGCGAATGAGCCAATTGGAGTAAAGTGCCATGCAGATTTAAATTTTCCCACCTGTGATGAATGCAGCTATCGATTTTTTTTGCATGCTAGCATGCTAGTAAACATTCGTGTCAGTCAGCTGTTGGCTCTCTCGTTGACCAATAGAATCTTGCTGTCTATTCAT